ATCCCAGAAACCTTCGCAGAACTTCGTGGAAGGTATTTTTGATGCACAAACTTCGTATAAGCGATTCTTTCTGACCCCCTTTCTCCACACACCCTCCATTTGGCCTTCATAATTCTTTCCCCCCAAAGACATGGTCTTTGGAGCGTGCAACTCTTTTGCGAGCCAACATATCGAAGAAAGTGCAGCCCTTGCAGTGATCATCCCCAGACACTCCATGTATGCCATATGATATGCCTACATTGACCCCCAAAGCCACCCCAATGTAGGCATATATGGCATACATGGAGTGTCTGGGATCTAGACGGTAGACTCTTGATGACACTTCAGATGATGCATGATGCTGTCTCTTCACCACCGCGCTTTGGTCAAAGCCGCTCGAAACCGTCTTAAAAGGACCGTTGGATGGCGGTCATTCATGTCGTAGACTCCATATCTGCCGATGTTAGCCTCTGCCGGTTGAGACCAGAGTGGGAAGGGTCAAAGGCAATTCTGTTTTCTTCCACCGGACTACCATGGACCCTGAGAAGAAAGACCCGTGATTTCAACCCTTTTCCTCATAACAACCCCGTGTGTTTTGGGGTTCCATGATGTTCCATGTTCATCTGCAGGGGACTAATGTAGTAGATTCTTTGATGAAAGTTTGTTCCCCCCTCAGCCCAAAGAGATTTTACAATCCACCACGGGAAGTCAGGTTTTTGGATGTTTTTGGACCTGAAATCCCCTATCACGAAGCAAGCAGAAAAAGCCCTTCAAGGTCTCAATGTTAGCCTCGTGCACCACTAAAATCTCAATGTCTTGACTGCGCGTTGATGTGACCTGACTCATCAAGGAACATGGTGCACATCGCGCAAGATGATCTATAATGATATCTGCACGGCACGATGCAGTGATATCAGTGATATCACGATGCAGTGATCGATCAGGTAAATGATCAAGTCCCAACTGCTCCTTCACCTCGTTCAACACGGTCCTTCACCACGGCGGCTTCTTCGCCTCGTCCAACAGCGACGGCCCCCACGACTCGGGTCGCCCGTCGGGTCGCCTCCGGTCGCCGAGGCCGTTTCCCGCGCCAATGCCAAAGGCGGTGGTGTTGGAAGCTCAGCCGAGCGGAGTCGACGTGTAGAGGTCTTTCGGGTCGAGGTATGGGAAGCAAGAGGTGCTCCTCCGTTGGTTGGTGTTGGGAAAAACAGGTGTTGGAGAAGGAAAAGAGGAAGAGCCAGGAACGGGAATGAAAGCACCTCACGGGAAGTTGCAAGGGAAAAGTGGAAAAGAACCTTTTGTGAATTTTCAAATGAGAAGGCCGTGGACCTTGAATGTACATGAAAGCAGATGACAGCACCAACCATGAAACTTTGCATGCAAAAATGATAAAAACCACACAGAAACCCGTGTAGCACGTGCTCTCCTGCAGGGTGGATTTCAGAACAGCAACAGCTATCCCGGTGAGCGGTTCCTTTCTATGTGGGTCATGACTCATGACCCACCATGGGTCGCCCCAGTCCACGTAGCAAGCGACCTGTCGCGACGAAGGGTCGACAGAGTCCGCCAGTGTCGTTGGTAGGTCAAGCGGTCGGTCTCCTGGTGTCAGTTGGGTGCCACATGTCATTGATGGTTCTTTCATGTTCTTCATGATCACAGTGCTTGGACCAGCGAATCCCATCGATTTGGGTGGTTGGACACACAGCAGGAACAGCGAATCCAATCAAGTTGATTTGGGTTGTTGGACAAGACATTGGGTGGTTGGACAAGACATTCTATGCATCCCATAGATCAGATCTATGCTCCTTTGCAAACAGGTGGTTTTCACTTCACTTCCTATATGGCCATGGGTCAATACCAATTGTCATCCAAATATGGTAGGTGAACATCCCCAACAAGACTATTCTGTTCAATTTTGGCATATGGAGTTTTGACCCACTGCCATATGATTATTTCAGGAAGTGTGTGAAGTGAGTCATCGTCTACCAGGAGTTCCATGTGGGGGGTGCTTTTTAGACCCATCTCCAGTTTGAGTGGATGTGACAGGGGGCATCCCGCCTTCCTCCACCTCCATAGCACCTGAACCCTCCATGGTTTTCTCGTTTCCCCAAACCACGGGCGTCGCTGCGCCTTCCGCCCATCGCCACGCCCTCCACGGCGCCTCGAGGCTGAAGCCCAAAGCCGCCCGAGCGACGGGCGGCGCCGAAGCCACGACCACCGCGCGCGGCGCCCGAGCCGGGAGCCGCGCGGAAGTCAGCGGAGGGGTGGCGGTCAGTCCGAACTCAGGCTCTGAAGCTAAAGGTTTTGAAATGGTGGGGATCCAGGAGGAAGTAAATTGGGCGTTTTTGTTGGGGTTGAAAGTTGAAAGAGACCTCATGAATTTTGGCCCCAGATCCAAGAGGTGGTTAGGGGCCCATGGGTTAGGAGTGTCAACTCGGATGCGGTTTGGATTGCAGCTGAGGGCGGGTTTCGCTTCGCTTCGGCGGGTGGGTTCAGTCCTGTGACGATTTATTCCGCTTTGGGGACGCGAAGAGTCGATTGTCAGGACAATGTCCCATAGACTTCCAACCATATATTTATTAAAACCTCTTCAACCAGAAGTTTTTTTCATATATATAATGAGAAAGTGGTATACCAAGTGTGGGGTATTAAAACATAATAGGCTGAATACCGAACCAGCTAAGGATTTTACACCACAGTTCAACCAGTTCGTTCCCAGTTCAACCTCATGGTCGAACGGAAGGCGTCACGGGGGACACCCTGCTTCGACACCTCGAAACGATGGTCGACACCCACCCCTGGGTGCCACACGGCTCGATATGTTTTTTTTTGGGGGGGGTCTTCGTCCATGTATCTACATGAGGATGGCCGTTTACCGGGTAAGGGTACCTATCACTGCTGGTATCACTGCTTTGTGCCTCAGGCAGAGGCCTACGCCAAAGCCAAAGGCAAAGGCACGGATAGAAACTGAGCCGATTCCTCATTCTGGGATCTTGCTTCAGAAGCCAGACACTCCATGTATGTAGCCAAGCATGCCAGTCCTGATGGTCTGGGTAAGATTCTTTGATATTCTTTGTATCTTTTAAGCAGGGCAGGAGATGGCAGGAGCCTTCAAACGACTAAGGCTGAGACCGACACCCAAGGCTAAATCTACCTCAGAGTTGGTTCCTGAGTTCCAGATGCACAGCATGAAGCCAGCTCTTTTCCTCTTGACAACGTGATGTGACATGGCGAGAAGAAAAGAGACTGAGCAAATCCAGCTGCAAAAGCTTGCCAATCCTTCAGGAAGCTTAAAAAACTATAGATAGGATCTCTACATACTAAACCTAATACAAATTTATATGATTATACTTACTTTAAAGGCCGTAGAGAGATCTGCCGTGCCATTGCCTCCAGCGAAACGTCTTCTCAGAGTGAAACGTCGGTGACCTAAGGCTGAGACCGACGCCCAAGGCAAGTCGCTCGCAGCCGGCGACCTCAGTCGGGTTGTGCGGGGGGGGCATGGCTTGGGACGGCTGGCGGAGCGTTTGGTTGTGAAAGTTGGAAGGTATGAGGAAGAGGAAGAAGAAGAAGAAGAAGAAGAACAAGAATTTCTTTATAGATTATTCTGAATTTCTTGGATCACATGAACCAGAACGTCGGGTGAAATGGCCATCACACGGTATACCGCGGCCCCAAATGGCCGAGGCCCAAGCCGGCGCCCAAGTCGACGAGCGCGTCGAGCCCTAAGCGCCATATCAGATGGAGTGCATCGGATTTGGGTGGTGCCAGTGTTCTTCCAAATGAAGAACCCACTGAATCTGGACCTGCCGTTTGCTTTTGTGACCGGTAGTGGTGAGTTTGGCTGATGAGGATGATTGCAGGTCTTCCAAGCAGTTTCCAAGCTGCCCAGTTAAAGCCATGTTTGAATCTGGACCTTGGTCTTTGGAGTCGGAACAAGGTTCAGGCCCGTCCAGGCCGTCGTGGCTTCCCATGTTTCTGCACCAAAGCTGCTTGGCGTCGGCGTCTAGGCGATCCTGGTGAACACCAGGGCAAGGCCCCCCCTAAGACGGGGTCCACTCGCGACGCTGGGGCGACGCTGGGGAGGGAGCACGTACTGAACGGCTCCGGTACCTCTTCATCGACTCGACTCACGGACGAAAGGTCCGAACTGGGAGGAAAGGTCCGAACTGGAATGTCCGGTCCGCGACTGGATCGCACTTCGTCGCCGGTGAGCAGAAACCATCAGGATTGATGCTCCCTTCCTGATGCTCCCTTCCGCAGAAGAAAACGTCATGAGTCCTGCCCATCCTGCCCCACGGGTGTCCTCTCCCATCCTTCCCGGGTGTCCTCTCCACGAAAGGACTTCGTCGAACGGCGAAGCTGCTGTGGTCGTTCGGAAGGGCCCCAAGCAGGTCCGGCGGCCTGGCATTGGATGCCGGATCTCAACCAATGCAGCCTGGCGTCCTTTCCTTTCGATCTCCGCCACTTCGCGCATCGGTTTGAAGGTCAGACCGTGGGGCAGGGGGGTTCTGGACCCAGATCTGACACGGTCTGGACCAGCCCCAAGAAACCAACCGAAGGAACAGACCGACCAGCGCTGTCCGGTGCTGTGCCCCCGAGGCCCAAAACGCCAGGACCACGTGTGGTGCAAACGTCCAAAGCCAAGGCCGGCGGCGCGGCGCGTGGCGCCGTCGCGCGGTGTTTTTGCGCTGCCATTTTTAGCGGCCCGAGTGGTGGGTCGCAGGGGAAGGTCAGATCATCGTGAGAAAGAAACACAGCTGGGGGCGAAGGGGATTGGAGGTTTCTGGCCGAGGGGGCCCGGATTTTTCTTTTTCAGGTCACAGATCATGAGAACTGAAACCTCCAGAAGATGTTGGTCACCATGAAACTTTTGCGGTAAGCGTTTGTGGTATACCAGGTCCTGATAAGGCCCCTCCCCCAAGTGAAGAAAAAACCGCCCTTCTTCGTTTCAAACCACCAACATACATCGCCGAAGGTCATTCATGTCATTCAAATCTCATGGCGTCAGAGAGCCAGTCAACTAACGCCTGTTCCTTTCTTTTTGGACCTGAACTTCTTCCAAACAAAGGTGAAGAAACACCACCCACCGACGGCCACCGCGGCCCACCGTCGTCCCGCAGGTCATGCAGAGTCCGGCCACGGCGCGAGCCGCGGCGAGGCAGGACGGTGGGACACATCGACGTGCGGAGAAAGCGCGGAAGGCGGAGAAGGTGGGGAATTCCGGTGGGGAAGGCGGTTCAGACCCGAAATCGTGTTTAGATCCAAAATCAGGTGGAGATTGGTTACGTTCTGAGGTTATACTCCAAAGTGTTCTTTCAGATCTGATGTAAGGCACCAGCACCACCCTTGAGCCGGTGCGCCCCGACGCAAAACGGTAGACTATACGGTATCCAACTCACCCGAAAAACGACGGGAGAGTTGTCTTCGGAGAGTTGGTACCGTTTCTCTGTGCAAACCGTGGGACGTTTCTTCGACGCCGCACATGGCAGGGACGTTTCAGAGGGAAGGGCATCGCCTCTGGCAGGTTCACGGAGGCCTCGGGTGAGGGGTGACCAGCTTCACCTGCTTCCAGTGGTCACCTGGCTGGACAAGCCAGCCCACTACTAACTAGTAACTAGAGGTCTCCTACTCCAGGGCACCCATTGGGAGTGCTATAGATTAAATTATCTAATGTCAGGGTGGAAACTCCACCGCAATCACAGATCTCACGGATATCACGAGTTCTGAGCAGCAACAAAAAGACACACAGAAAATCCTTGTGGATGTCAGAAATCCATTCTACCACCCTTGGGTGGTGCTGTCATAGACACTGGGCAGATCAGCAGCCCGTGGAGTAGCAAGATCATCGCAGGCGTGAACCTCCCTGGCGAGAGGCACAGCTGGGTGGAGGGGATTTGGGTGAAGAGAAAGACGACATGGTCAATCAGATTGAAGACGTTCTAGGTCTACAAAAGTTGAAGATACGTAGATTCAAATTTTTGTAGTCTGTCAGTGGTGTGTGCTGGATCTTGACTAGCAAGCCATGTCAAGTTCAATCCCTGCACATGTCCTACCCTGGTTCCAAAGCTGGACATCAAGCTCGCAGTGGTCTCTCTTTCAGCATGTCCAGCTTGCAGTTTGTAGATGGGCGACATGAAAAGCGGCTTGGTTTCGGGCGCCTCATCGACCCACGGACCCCGCGCCGACGGCGAGTCGCTTAGCGGTGAGACACGGGAGCTCGACGACAGCGGTGAGACACGTGAGGTCGCTTAGCGTGAGCCGAAAAGTGATCCCCAAGCAGGTCCAATTGGGCCTTTGAGATCCCACCCAGTGCATCCCAGTTACCACTATATAAGGAACCACTGGTTGCCAGGTATAGTGGTAACTGGATGCCCTGGGCCAGTTTCTGACCGGTTTTGTCGGAAGATGAAGGGCTCTCGAGGGTCGCGAGGGCCGGGTGTCCGGAAGATGGACGCACTGAAGATGGACGTCCTTCAGACCCGAAAGAACGTGCGGGGGCGAGGGACGAAGCGAGCGGAAAGGGAGACCCTGACGTCCTGGCCCCCCTGGAAGATCGTTTTCCTCTACGAACCAGTGGGTTTTCAGGGTCCATGCTCAACCTTGCGGTAAACGCGCACGAAGGGAATTCAGAAGTGGCACTGCCGTCTTTTCGAGAAAGCATCCTTCCTTTTCTCAACCTGGTTTTGCTCAAGATTATGTTGTTTTTTTTGGTTCCCTAACCAGGTCCATCCCCTTTTGAGAGCCACCCGGTTCCCAAAACCAGCCCAAGCGACCCACGCGACCCAGGCGGAGCCGACCCAGCGGGAGGTGCCCAGCCAGCAAACGCTGGGGGAGGAGGTTTCCCTGCGGGTTCCCCACTGAAATTCATAAGTGTCAGTCAATCAAGTCAAATCCAAAGTGTACATCATGACATTGGAGTTTCTGTAAAAGTCCACAATAAAGACACTGACGTCTTCTTCGCGATATATTTCAACCCCCCGAACAAGTGGAAACGGATCCATTGGTTTCGGTTGTTTGGGGCCCCTGGGTCTTTCCGTGAAACCACTCACCAGGTGCCCATCGATTTTTCACGCGATCGGCTGAAGCCCGAAGTTCCGAAGTTCTGGACTGAACTACCCAAGAGAGGTAGCCACCCTGAACTAGGGCCGCAACCTGGGGTACCCAACTGGGAATCTTCGAACGTTCGGGTTCTGACCCACCTCTGTTGGACTTCACCTGGAGGTCATAATCCCCCTAGACTTCCAAGATACTGACTGTCAAATTCATAGGCTGAATCCCGAAGCAGCGAAGGACTTTACAGTTCAACCGGTTCGTTCCCATTTGTTTTAATGGTCGAATGGAAGGCGAGGGATCCACTCCATACAAAGATCCATATCTAGAGCACGGGGGCAAAATGAGTCATGACTGGACTCTCAATGTAAGCCAAGATCTATATATAGACATGTGTGGATGAATTATACCTGTAGCATTTACTGCCTAAGGCCTGAAAGACAACATGAGTACCCCTCACCAAGTTCGTGCACCATTTACCTTAGGTTAATAATTACACCTTTCTGTGTGCCATTACGCTGGTCCAGGTATTTTCATGACTCTCAACCGGTTGTTCGCGTCATGGCCATCCCAAAGTACTCCCTCCAGTCGTTCTCCCCGAGACGTGCTGCTGCATCGGGGAAGGACTTTGGCCTCCAAAGACGTGGAGGGGAAATCCCCCGTTGAGACCGCAGAGCTCTTGGAGCGTCGCGTCGGGCCGGTTTTATGGGCTTCGCAGCGACCGAAGCGTTTACCGCGCTGCTCAGAGCTGCCAGGCCAGAGCTGCCTACGACACAGGCGCGCTGGCGCGGCAGCGCGCGCTTTTCGGGTGTGGAGGGGATTTTTGTGAGAGAGGTCATGGAGTTCTAATGGATTCATGGAGCAAGACATCATGTGAATCAGATATCCCTTTTGTTTGGAGCTGTGTGACAGGCGACCGAAGTGTAGCTGTGACAGTGGATGCCGTCAAAGTCGAGTCATAGCTTCCAGGAAATCAGCGGTGTTGAAACAGCTGCAGGTTTTATAGACCTTGAAACCCTGGTTCCATAAGTTGTTTGACTGGAGTGAAGAACAAATTGCCAAGGATCAAGCCGCCAACATGTCCTCGACTCCTCGACGTTGTTGATTCGATCACCCAAAAGAAGATCAAACTACCAGGAGTCACAAAGGGGTGCCTATTGGAGGTTAGGGGTGCCCATTATCCACTCACTTAGGGACCAAACACCACCCTTTGTGACGCAGTATCCAAGTAGTTCTCCGACTTGTTTTATCCCCCTCTCCAACTTGTCCTGGAATCTTCAAGGACGCGTCCGCAACTAACGTGACACAGCCAAACAGGGTCGATGACGCAACAACATGGCCCCTAAAATCCCCATGTGCTTTTTCCCAAGTTTCACCACTGCGGATGCTCCTTTTTCCATTGCTTAAACTCATTGGTGATTCCTCACCGCTTCGCCTTGATCTTCTTCTTTTCGCAGGTGGCAGAAGTCAGAAAGCCTGGCAAGACCAGTGGGACCAAACAACAAAGACGAAGAACCAGGCAAGATGAAAAGCAAATGCCGGGAAGAAGACGTCTCGAAAAAAGGATGGGAGGGAAAACATGAGAAGTTGGATAAATTGTTACAACCCAAAGACTGATGGACCCGAACCAACTGCTACATGTTGGTTCGGTCCAGTTCACCCTGGCTGGTTTCGGGTCAAAACCTTGGCGAACTGAGGGTCCAATGAGCCTTTGGGAATATATACATCAAAGGACCCTCCTGTCGGGGTGTCTATTTATAGCCCCTTAGCCGCCGTACTTCGGGGTGTCCATGAAAACCACCCCTTTTTCAGGCCCTGGTATATCTTTGTCCAATGGGCCACAGATTCTGGTGTGGGTGGATCCGGAACTGGTGGATCTCCTTGTTTGGGGCCTTACACGCGGCGTGGGAAGTGACGAGAATTCCTTTTTGCAGTTCCGGGTCGAGCCGCGTGGGAAAAGGGAGGCCCGGCGAAAAGACGTTGCACTCCATTTACCCAGACACGATCTGTTTGGGACTGCCTTGACCCCCGACTTCCACCATCCCAATCTGGCAGTCCGGACCTGCCAGTCCCAGCTTGTCGTGTCTGGGACATGGGGATGATGTGGACGTCTTTGCCGCTTGACATTCTCATTCGAAGCCGATCAGCGATCGCTCCCGATCTTGCGCCGTGGATGCCCCATGTTCCCACGCACCGCCGGCGTTCGTTTTCGCCGTTCGGGCTGACGGGATGCTGGCCTTTGTCCGGCACCTTGGGTGGGTGGGCCTTTCCGATCCACGACCGAAGGTGGGCTGTCGTCCGTGGGTGTGTAGCTGCCCTATTCGAATCCTTGGACCCTCCGAACTGGAGGGTTTTGACCCTGCAGGTTCCGCAGGGGGCCCTTGGACCCGAACCAAACCTTCACCGAACGGGTCGGGTCCTTGATTCTTAGGGTGCTAACCTTCATGGGTCTCTGAATCGACGAACTTGGGTGCCGAAGACATGACTCGCTTCGTGCGCGAGTCATCCGGGGGGTGGAAAGATCCGGATGTCTTCCGGAGTCTTCGGAGACCTTCGAGTCCAGAGGCATCATGGTCCCATACACGACCCGTTTGGGACTGCCAGTCCGGACTGCCCATCAAGCCAGACCCCCCGCGCTAACCATCACCCCTGGCCGGAACTCTCGGCAGTCCGTCCTGGCAGTCCCAAACGGGTCGCGCCTGGGAGTTGGAGCTTCTTCTTCTTTCGTTTCGGCGACGGTCCGCCGATGTGGATGTGATCCTGGACGACGCTACCGTCACGTGTCACGTGTCACTGTCGTGTCTGCCGCATAGCACCGGGCAGGACCAGTGGACGACGTACAACTGGTCCAAGTCGAAGAAGAGGTTACTTCCGATCCAAGAAAGGAGAGATGAGGCGGCATCGCGCGGAACTGCGGAACTGTGAGTGGTGACTCCCAGACACGACGACTGCCATACTGACAGGTGGAAGTCGGGGTCAATTGATCGGCATATTAGACCACCCTAAGACTTCCTAAGAATCCTTGGACCCTCCGAACTGGAGGGTTTTGACCCTGCAGGTTTCGCAGGGGGCCCTTGGACCCGAAGCAAACCTTCACCGAACGGGTCGGGTCCTTGATTCTTAGGGCAGTCCCAAACAGATCGTGTTTGGGTCCACCATCAGGATGGACTCAGATGGAGTGGTTTCAAGGAAAGGAAAGACACATCGCCCACCCGGTTCGAACGAAACCGTGACGAACGACGAACATGAACTCCACCTGGGAGTCAATCCATCCACCAGCAATTCGGGGTATTTTCAGCTAAGAGATCATGACTCACTCAGCAGGCGACGCTCCCAGGGCTGGGCGATTCGAATTCGATCCCAGGGCGCTGCTCGTAGGCTCGGAGGAAACACCGTGGAGAGCGAGAACCTCCTCGCGCGGGTGACGAATCGAAGTAGCACTTTTTGGGCACAGTTCGTTTGGAAAACGCTTCTTGAAGCGAAACCAGTTGCTATAAGAGGTATAGTACGGCCCTGGAAGTCAAAGACCATTTTAAAAATGGTTGAGCTGGTTTTGTAGTGTAAAAGTCTTAGTAAAACAATGGTGGTTCGACTTCTAGGGACGGTGTATACTGCATGTGTTCTTTGGGTGTTCCAACAACACCCGATCGGCCCCCCCGAACCGTCTCGGTCGAGTTCACTCACCTTCCGAACCAAACCGTCCCAGGGGGGGAGTCGTTGCCGCGCCGCACCCAACGTGATGGAACACAGCTCACGTTGACGCCTGTGCTGATGGGCCCGCGCTCGAGAGCGCGATGCTACGCCGCCGCCGCCAGGTGGTCTCTGTGCTTTGTGGGCCCTCGCGCGTGGTTTGCCTCTTGGGGGAGACCGGAAGTGGCAAGAGCACCCAGGTGCCGCAGATCATTTTAGAAGAGGCCCGGGCGGACGACCGAAGACCCCACTCCCGCGCGAACAAAATGTGCGCGCGAACAAAATGTGCTCCGAAGACGGTCGCGGGAAGTCGCTCCAAAAGTCACAAGGAAGTCGCTGGTTCCAAAGGGAGGTAGGAGTTGGGTGCCCAAGATTGCCCAAGAACCACATCCACAGCCACTGGGACGAGCCACACCACCCAGGCCCTCCATGTGGCTCCTGGCGATTGAATATAGGCTACCTGACGTGCTACCTGATGTTGTTCTTGCTCTATAACAAAAATGCATATAGCCGTATATTAGCAATTGGGTTCATAGCCCTTTCCACGCCGAATATTTCTGTGTGTGGAGCAGATTTGTAGAAATGGTCTGTGTGTTATTCAAAGTACATGAAAGCACCACACCTTTGACTTGAGCTGCTTTTAGATTGGTGCGTGTACTGAGCCAGTGTTCTGTAAAAAGCGTTACTTTTTGGCAGGTTCCTCTAATAACCAAGCATGTCTTACGCATTGAATGGAACTGGAACGTTGACCTGCTTGACCCGTCAGACTGAACCCTACGTCGAATCGAATCACCCCTGCTTGGTCGATCGATGCCAGTCCCATTCGTCGAAATCATCCATCCTCCGCCAGTCAAGGGGACCGTCTGAGATCAACACAGACCTTGCCCCGAACCACCTCCCCAAACCCACCGCAAAACTGCCCCACCCCAGGCGCGCCGCGCCCAGAACGACGCGCGGGTCTGTGTGACCCAGCCGCGCCGCGTGGCGGCGCTCAACTTGGCCAATCGCGTGGCCACGGAGCTCGGCGGGGCGCCCGAAGGGTGGGCGGAAGGGTGGAGGTGGCGGAGGAGGGTTCGCGAAGAGGTCGGGGGGGCGGTGTTTGGAAATGAGTCCCATTCAGTTGTTCGTGGGTTTTGGATCGCCATGGATCACCTTAAACACTCGAACCTGCCACCAAAACGCCTAGACATTGAAGCCCTTTTCAACCACCCCAATGTAATTATACCTCGCACTTCCTGTCTGGGTGCCGGACACCCAGGCAGGATGACCCTGGTGGGAGGTCAACATGGCAGTTCTTTAGACAGGTCGTGTTTGGGGCACCGATCGCATCCAGCCTCCCCGTCTCCTGCGGTCCGGGACTGGAGGTGAAGCCATCGGCTACACCGTGGGCTACCGGATCGGCGGCCCCTCGGCGTGCAGAAGCGGACCCGGGACCTGTGGAGGGCCCCAGACACGACCCATGGGACTGTCATAGGACTGCCGCATGCCTATATACATTGACCCTTCAACTACCACCCCAATGTAGGTACATATACCATACATGGAGTGTCTGGGATATGTGTGCGTGTGTGGGCGTGTGTGGGTGTGTGTATGGTTGTGATGTTGTGTGTGAGAGAGAGAGATCGTGTTGGATCATTGTGATGTTGTGGTGATATTGTGCCAGTGTGTGGATGAAGGATTTCAGGAGCCTAATTCACAAACCTGCCTCCTGACAGCCTAGCCCAATGTGCTCGGTTTCTCAGGAGAGAGTCGACGTGGCGAGAACATCGATTTCTGCACGGTGGGCTACATGTTGCAAGTCTTCCTCAACACTCCAGAGGTGAAGACGAAAGGCGAAAGAACGAGCATGGCGAAGGATGAGAGCTGGCGAAGAGGGGTCCCCAAGAAGACCCATCTCCAGCTTCCAAATACTCGGACTCACATGGAAGTGGAAACGCATGGCCCCCCTCGTCGAAGACGACGAACTGCTGAAGACCAACCCGTCTCGACTGGACCGTCAGAGATCGTCAGAGGGTTCAAGACGAAGACGGTCCAAGCGAGACTGGTCCAACCCGGACACTTCAGCCTCGCGTGCACTGTGCACCTCCTCGGGTAAGCGCCATGGCCCCGATGGCCATCTCGGCCGAATCGGCTGCCGTTCGGCCGCGGCCGCTGCTCGGATGGCAGGAGTTTGGCCACTACACGCACATCGTCCTGGATGAAGTCCACGAACGAAGTGTCGCGCCTGCAGAGAGAGGGTAGTCGGTCGCAGCTGGTGGGTCAGAGCAGAATGGTGTCTGCAGTGGGGTCCCGTGTTTCATCCTCCAAAGCAAGGCTCAGGGAGGTGTTTGAAGATGAGTAGTTATCTGATCTGACTGTTAGTTCTGGGCATTTGTACTATAGCGTGATTCCGCAGGGCTGTTGACTGACATTCCCTCGTATTTGCATACCTGTGAAAGTATCCAGTCAATGCTAGGGCTGGTAGGGTTTGATGCTTGGGATGTGGTCATGAGATGTGTGGTGAGTCTAACACCTCCCTGATGGCAGATCATGGCATAGTGGATGGCATAGGCCCCTGAAAAAGAAAATCTTCTACAGGAGGTGGTGCCATCCACTTCCACGTGAATGACTCCCCAAAAACCCAAGCAGAACAACACCCCAGCCACGGCACAGAGAGTCCCAGATGGGTTTTCGGTGTCCCTGGGTTTTCGGTATGTTCGGTGTAATTCACGAGAAGAGGACCCGGAGAGTGTATAGTACACAGGTTGTTTGTTTCTTTTTTTGGGCAAGACCTGAACTGCAAACCTGTCTCATGCCCAGCCACTCCGTATATACCTTGGGTCTGTCCGAACTTACCTGTAACCGGACCCGTAAGCAAGCAAATCACTATTTTTGGACAAGGCCTGCAACCTAACCATCATCCACTGAAGCCAGGTAATAGGATAGACCCAATATATATACCCATGGCCCATAGCCTATACCCCCATCACCAGGGTGCTTCCAAGACGCCGATGAAAGCGCCAGAGTGCGGCTCAAGTCGCGAAGCAGAGTGCGGCTGAAACGACCGGTTCTAGAGGAAAGTGTATCAGTATGTGCCTGGAACCTGAGTGACCCCTGTTTTGAAGGGTCAACTATATCCAAAATATGGCCTTTTCCTATCAAAACAGGAGTCAAAGGGGTTCTAGGTGTATCTAGATCTGCTGAAACATCTGCTATAGATGCATGGAGAGCGGCCTATGGGCTTGTGTTCTGACATCTGCTGTATATAGGTTCCGGAAAGCTGATCTACAACATCTATGTATATTTGCTGTATGACATCTCCTTTCAGCCAAAAGTGTGGCCAGAATGAAGCCTGAGCTCAAGCACCCTCCCTGCAACAAAGACGGAAGCGGACCCTCCCGGCTTCTAGAGGACGCGAATTGTGTTGATCGAGCACGCGACTATTCTCATCATCGATTGACCAAAGATCTACGTTGCATGTGCACGAAGTTCTTTAGAGTCAAAGTAGCCAGATGCGTTTCAATGAAACTGGCTTCATAAGATGGTGAGATCAGTTCATTCAGTTCAGTCTATGCCCGTTAGCTGTGGTGCTCCTTTAGATTCCTTTAGATCTGCCGGCCAGTCGATTCAACGGTACCCTCCGGCTGTTGCAAGTCGACTGGCCAGTCGACCACTCGTCGTACCCGAAGACCACTCGCTGCCATGTCCGCGAGCGAAGAAGAAAGCGGCTCCTCCAGTGGCTCCGAAGGCGAAGCCCCTGAGCTGGCGCTGCCCAGTAGCAAGGCGCAGAGCTAGCGTCCGCAAGCTGGGGTGCGGTCAGGGTGTGGGGAGGTCAGAAGACCTGGGAGGTCTGCTGGTTAGGGAGACGTTCTACTTCAGCCAGCGCCAGCTGGATAGGTCTGAAGCTTCCGGGTCGTGGGGAGATACACACCCAGGGTATTTGAAGAGGAAGGTCTTCAACCTGGTTGTTGGCCTGGTTGTCAAGAATTGCAGATCAGCACAGTGGTCTTTCAATACTTCAACATGCATCATCCTCGTGGTCAAATCATCACCTCCACCAAGTATCTCTGACCTAGGACCGACCTGTTTGCAGGTGGCATCATCACTTCTCCCTGAAGACGTGACGCTACGTGACCCAGCTTGACGTGACCCACAGATGTACACGGTGTACACGCCCACCACCTGGGTGGGCCCCGAACTTCCTCCATGACCACACGTGGGTCCACACGTCACGTCACCCTGTGGCTGGTAATAGCGAATAGAAGGTCAACCTGTAGGTCTTAGACTTTGTGCAAGACTTCACCCACTTTTTGGGGAGCATGTTTAGCTAGGACTTCATCCGACAGTCATGAAAATACAGGGTTCATACGATCCTTTGGACGCTGTTCCTTCATAGTTGGGGTGTCGTTCGTTTGGGCTTCAATGCTTGTTGGATGGGGAGTCAATTCACTCCTTCCAGGGCCCACGTACCAAGCGTAACGCGAAACTATGGATGTTTGAACCATACTCAACCAGTGTGATAGGGCATTGACAAGGCAAACATGGGGAAGCCGGCATTCAACCGGTTGTGTTTTAGACGAGACATATGCTAAGAAAATCAGAGCAGGTATGCATGGTGTTTGCATGTTTTACCGGGATGGCAGTTATGTGTTGAACCGAAACAAACGATACACCTCCTTTCCAAGTCCCAACCATTCAACCTTTCCGCGGTGCCAAAATGGCACAAGAACATCTACTGGGTGAGGACCACTTCATCATATAGGATACATTTCTATGAGTCTCCCTGCCCTCCCAAAACAGCGCTAGCAACCGCCTCCTCCCTGCCCCCTGCAACGCCGCGCGATCGCACGAGGCTCCCTTTGAAAAGATCTCCTGCTTGGGCGAAGGCGCCTTTGGCGCCGTCTGGTTGGCGCGCTCCAAGAGCAGCGGCCAATATGTGGCCCTCAAGGCCTACCCGGTGCCAACAAAGGGTACTAGCACCTGTGTTAAGTCATTTGGTCTTGTAGAAAGTCGTTTGGATGCTGTGTTTACATTGGGGTTAGATGCAAGAGATGGCAATATAACTGGAAGAGTATCAGGTCAACAACATTGTTTGGATGCTGCGTTTACATGCGGTTTAGGTGCAAGATGTGAATCTCATTGGAAGATAAGCTTTGGAGTGTCAGTTCAACAATACTGTTTCGAGCTCGAGCGTGCGTGGCAAAGCAACCGTAACAAGCGGTTTGTCACCTTGACATTGCCGGGCCAGAGCAAGTAGAAAAGATTCACGTGGTCCCAGCATGCTACATCTATGTTTAGGGAAGTTTAGGGGCTAATCTTCACGATAGCCCTACCCTTGTGTTCTGATTGGGGTTCGGTCACCAAAACACTGCAAACTTCGACATAAATCTAGTTCTTTTCTGCACAAGGGCAATGAATTCTTGATGTATAGCAGTTTTGACAAACATGCTTTCGTAGAGCGTTTACTGTACATGTTTTTTCAACATAAAACGGGTGAATTTTTGCAAGCCGGGTGACTTTTGACTAATGCTGCGTTTACATGCGGCCGGGTGACTTTCTGCAAACCCCGACGCTAGTATGAGAAAGTCACTTGAGATAAGATGTGTATGCGCGAGAGTCGAAGAAACGTGGTGTTTCGACCGTTTGGGGTTTCCAGGATACTGATACTCTTCCCTAGCCTCGAAGTTCGACCATTCAAAACATGGGAATGAACTGGTTCGGGATTCAGTGTAAAATCCTTAGCTGGTTTGGGATTCAGCCTATTAATTTGGAAGTCTAGGGTCTTGATTAATAAGCCCCCCATATGAAGAACATGTCCAATTCAAATGTGAGGGTTTATTAATCAAGAGTCTACATTACTGATAGTAGGCAGGGAGAATCAACCCCAAGACAGTTTCACGTGACCAGCACGTGACAGGGGAAAAGCACACGTTGCATCGTTTTTGGGGGTTTCTTCCCTTCTCGGGCTTCCTGCTCCCCACTGGTTTCTTCCTTTCTCGAAGTGCCTGGCCCTTAGCTGCTTAGCTCCTATGAGTCACTCTCACTATACCACCAACTCACGAACTTGTTGGATCTTGTTGGCATCTATTCACGTCCCTTGATGTTGATGTTCCCTTTACGTTTTGGCCCAGCACTTCCTTCTTTGGCCATCCCAAAACGTATCGCCTCTTCCCAAGAGATCTACCCTCGTTCCATCGCCTCGCCTCTTCCTCCGCCTCCGCTGCCAGGAGATTGGTCGCCACCACGCGGACGTCGCGCTGCTGCGCCCCGAACGGGACCTGCTGCGCCGCATCGCGGACGAGGGCGGCGGCGGCGGCGCGCGTCCGCTGACGGGGCTGGTGGCGACCTACACGACGCCCTTCGCGGTGTGTTTGGCCATGGAACTGGTCGAAGGCCCGAACTGCGGCCGGAATTCGGGTGGATGGAAGTGAAGTGGCGCGAAAAACCAGCTGGAGCAGGAGCTGGAGCAGTGTTTGGGGGGTAACTGTAACTGCTGAGACAGACTGATGTGGGACTGTGGTGAAGTGTGGTGAAACATTTGAAGTTTGAAGTCCTATTGAATTCTGTCGAATTCTGTGGCGGGCTGGGTCATGGCACCAGGACACCACCCAGACGCGATCCGTTTGGCACTGCTAGGACGGACTGCCGAGAGTTCCGGCCACGATTGGTGGTGGTGCCAGGGGGGTCTGGCTTGATGGGCAGTCCGGACTGGCAGTCGACAGGTCGTGGGACTGGGGAATAGACATGAATAGACTATCCACAGGGTGGCGTTGGATGTCATGTGCACCTCTCCCTGGGCGAAGCCGGCGGCCGGAACCGCGCCCGGCCAGGCACCCACTTGTTCGACCACCTCAAAGCCGAGAAACGCTTCACGGAAGACCGTGTCCAGTGGTATGCGAGCGAGATCGCTGGAGCGTTGGAGTGGCTCCACTCCAAGGGCTGGCTGTATCGAGTGGCTTGGGAACAATGGTGAGGCGTTGGTGGGGCGTGATAACTTCTGGGTGTTGCTGATCAGGCGGATGTTTTTTTGGTTAAATCTCCTTTCTGGCGAGTATACTTCTTGTTTTTCTCGGCTAGAATGCACAAATCCAAGTCTTGGGAAGGCGCAAGGAGTTCGTTGTTGGGAAGATGATGTTCTGCAGAAATCGGCAGCGAAACGAGAAATCCGCCATCGATCACTTCATCGAATCGGATGTTGTCCTCCACGTGTGTGAAGCGGGGATCGCTGCATCGCTG